TCGGACGTCTACGTCCTTATCTTGACCCTGCGCTCCGGGGCCAGCGAGTGCGCGGTGATTTCGTGAAAGAGTTGGTCAGCCGTGGCATGGCCAGATTGATTCCCCACGCCGACCCCGGGGGAGGCGGCGCGACGGTCGGCCTGTTCTTCGCCTGGGAGAAGTCCGGCAAGCAGAGGGTCATCTTCGACGCGCGCCTCGCCAATTGCGACTTCGAGGCGCCCCCTTCAACCCGTTTGCCACCAGCTGGGCCGTTCGCCAGGGTGGGAGGGTGGGGGCCCAGGAGTGCGACGCGGCGTGGCGCAGCGCGGGCGACGTCCAGAACGCGTTCTACGCCATCGAGGTGCCCGAGGAGCTCGGCTCGAGTTTCAGGCCCCCCAGCGCGCGAGGTGGCGCAGCGGGTCTTCGAGGCCCGGCAGGCGCCGCCGTGCGCGCGCCGGTGCTGACCGTGCTGCCCACGGGGTGGAGCTGGGCGCTGCACCCCTGCCAGCTGGTGACCGAGGAGGGCATCTCCTGGGCGGCCATGGCCCAGGCGTTCTGGTGAAGGACCGCGAGGCCGCGGCGCCGCTGGGGCCTTCGAGGCCGCTGGCTGCTGCTGGCTACGTGGACAGCTGCATGGGGATGGGGGGGCCTCGAGAGCGAGTCGCGGCTTGCGGGCAGTCGGTCGCCTCCGCGCCGAGGGCCCAGGGGTTCGTCATCCACGAGGAGACCGGCGGAGCCGTGTGCCACACGGACTTCGTGGGCCTCAGCTTCGACGGCAAGGGGCGCGCGGTCGAGATTTCCACGAGACGCACGTGGCGGCTACGGCTCGCCATCGATGAGTTGCTGAGGCGCGGCTCCTGCTCCGGACACGTGCCGGAGATCGTCGCGGAGCGCGCCGCGTGGATCATGATGGTGCAGAGGTCCACGCTGTCGATCTTCAGCTCCGTTTTACCCCTTCATCAAGATCCTGGGGAGCGAGGCCGGCACTCTGTGGACCTCCGTGAAGGAGGAGCTGGAGCACGTCAGGAACCTTTTCCCCATGGTGATCGCGCGCCCCGGCCGCAGCTGGCACGGCAGGGCGACGGCCAGCGACGCCTCGCACTGGGGCTGCGGGGTTTGCGAGCGGACCGCGCCGGCGGAGGAGGTGGCTCGCTGGGGCCACACTGCCGAGCGGTGGCGGCATCGCCAGGGGGCGACCGCTGCCCGCGCGCACGCCTTCAACGGGGAGGCCGAGGGGCTGGGCCACGTGCTGGTCCAGGGCGACCTGCCGGACAGCCTGGGGCAGGCCGAGGAGCACGCCAGGGCGTTCGACATGGTGGGCACTGACGAACATTCTTCGGCTTGAGGGGCTCGCTCTGTCTAACTCGCTTCGCCGCCTCCTTCGCGATCGAGGGCCTTCGGCCATCGTGTGCTGCTTCTGGTCGACAAACTCGGCCTGGCCCTCGCGGCTGAAAAGGGCCGCTCGGCCGCGTTCCAGCTTCGAGATATCCTCGGGGAGATTTCGGCACTCACCCTCGCTTGTGGCATTAAGGCGTGCGTTCGCTGGGCCCCGTCCGAAAGGCGCCCAGCCGACAACCCCTCAGGAGGACTCTACTTCCTCAAGTCGCAGGGCGAGGCGGACGGGCCCCCTGGTCTGGCTGCTGGCGCTGCTGGGGCTGACCTTCCAGCCGCGCCAGGCTTCCCGCCCCTCGGCAAGGCTCCGCCCGTGCGAGACGGCCTCGCCGAGGCCGGCGGCGGCGCCCTGGGCGGAGATGCAGGGGGCGGCGCGGTCGTCAGTGGCTGCAGCCGCGCGAAGGGCCCGATGCCGCCCGCCATCAGCAGATACGGTGCCCCCCCAGGGGGCGTTCCTGCCCAGCTTCCTGGGGTCGCGGTCGGTGGCCAAGGCAACGTTCACCGACTACAAGAAGCGGACGTTGATCTTCCTCGCCTGGGCCGTCCAGAGGTCGGCGACGTGGGCGACCGTAGGGGAGCTCGACCAGGCCTTGGTGGGGCACATGGACCGCCTCTTCTTCCTGGGCTGCTCGGGCGACGTGGCCAGCAAGACCCTGGCGGCGGTGAAGTTCTCCTACCTGGACGTTGGCCGGTACGGCGCCCGGGGCCTCCCCCGCGCGGCGCGGGCGCTTGCGGGCTGGAGCGCGGTGGTGCCGCGCGCCGCCAGGATGCCTGTGCCGCGGCTGCTGGCTGCTGCGCTGGCGGGGCACATGGTCGCGAGTGGTCTGCTGGAGCTCTCCATCGCGCTCCTGCGGGCGTTCCACGGCTACCTCCGGCCGTCGCGAGCTTGCAGCTGCTGATCCCGCCGGTGACGGGTGCCGGCTTTGGGCAGCAGGCGTGGGCCGTGCTGCTGGGGCCGAGCGAGCTGGGGGCGCCGACGAAGGTGGGCGCCTTCGACGAGAGCGCGGTGCTCGACGGCATCCCGTACCTGTGCGACTGCCTGGCCGCCCTCGAGGCGAGGTGCAAGTCCCCGAACGATCGGATCTGGAGTTTCCCGCGAAACGACCTGTCCAGGCAGGCGCAGGCGTCC